TGCATTTGATCGTCCGTTCATTGACATGGCATTCATTCGCTTTAATTGAAAAGTGAATGCTGCGCATAGCCAGAGCATACTTAAAACTAAAGTACCTCATTTTCGGTGATGAATGTGAAGTGGAAAGTTATATTCAGAATTAAAAAATGCGTAGTTAAAATAATATGATAGACACGCTGTCAACGTTGGAATCCACCAATATCATAAGTAAGCCGGCATATCGGATATTCTAAGTTAGCTGAAACCAAAAAAAATGTTCGAACCAACTTCGCTTGACAGCATTTATGTTTATGTATAATATGTGATAAGCCGTAAGGCTAAGCACATGTATGCGCGCAGCAACGAAAGGCACGAAACTGACAAGCATGCGCAGGTTGACGTTGCGACAACGACGAGGTCCGATAAATTTAGCTGAATACCTATTCGCTGCCGGAATGCAGGATTAATAATGACGTAGCGCAAAGGGACGAGAGACGTCAGCTCCTATTATGCTTATGAATATAAACACACACGAACGTACGCAGTACCGGGATAAATGGCCTCCACGTACGTCTTTAATATGCTTTGCAGTAATAGCACAAAGGATTATGTAGAGTGAGAAATAAAAAGGGAACGAGATCAAAGTTATCATAAGCATTCGTTGAAAAGGCTTTTTGACGCAGTTCCAATGCGTAAATTTACGAGTGTCGTAACTGTTCTGGTGCTTTTCTGTAGTCTTTCATATTATTTTTTGAACTTAGTCGCGTGAACAATTTCCCACGTACGTCAAATATATACAATGTAGAAGTAAATAAATTGTCTGAATATCTCGCATAAATTATTGGCATTTTGTAACGATGTTAAAGCTATTTATTTAATCACGTACCACGTGTTTAACACCAGACCAATAGCGGCAATTTATTTTCGAGATTGAATTTCCTCGAATCCCGGAACTTTCGTTTAGTCGCACTGCGCAAATGGAAATGTTGGAGCCAAATTGAAAAAGAAAGACGCTTTTCAATTTTTGTCCCTGATCATCCTAACGGAGAAGAATATTCCCTGAAAATTCGCCAGAATGCAGCATTTTCGTTCAAAAGAAGTCTGCACCATGGGGTAAAAGCTAATTAAGCTCGCTATTTAACATACATACCCGACACGCGTATAATCAACGTTTTCATAGTATACATCGAAACTACACAAAGGAATCAAGTATTACCATTTGGCAAAATCCTAATAAGCATTCGCTGAGAGGGGGGGGGGGGCGAAACGAGGTAATAAGCGGACTCGAAAATGCATTTACTCGTGCTCGCGTCTTTAGCGTCGATTATCTCTCTTATACACCCGCTCTCTTCCTATATATGTATGAATTATCCCGTGGGTAAAGTACATTTGCATGAACACTAAAGGAAACGTCAGGCGAATTTTTAGCGTACACGCAAGCGTCAATTGTATCTCTTTAGGAGTATGCTACTGAATGATGTGCTCTATGCAGATACATTAAGTGTACGTAAATATGCTATTTTTAATTAACGACTTTTGGGATTGTTGCGCGAACCCAATGGAGATACATAAAAGCTGATTGTTGATGTTTTAACCGACGGTTTTTTTTTTCAAATTATTTTTAAAAATAGGAAAATGCTGTGTTCCATTATACGTATTATTAATTATGATATTCGATCTGCATCTTGTTTTTTAATAAATTAGTGCTATAGAAAATTGACAAGCTTTATTTTAAATCCATTTCAAGCTTGTAAAAGTTACAACACCATATTAAAAATAATATTAAATTACTTTAATGACCATCAATGGGGTTTTTTAGCACAGCTTATATAGATAATTGATGTGATCATTAATTTTTATTAAAGATTTGCTGAATGAATGATGAAATTCAAATCAAGAAGCAATTAGTCAATGATTTTCGTGAATCCTAAAAATAATTATTATTGATAAATTATAAATTAATTTTCTGACGACGTAATAGTTGTATGTTGTTCATCGAATCTTCTTATTATGAAACAATCAAATACATTGCTAAAAGTACTACGGAATAAATTCAAACACAGAAATCAATGATGGTGCATCTTTTAAGATTTGAGTCGATACTCCAGATAGAGAAAGACGGAAGGAAGGGCGGGGACTGCCGCGAAAGCCACAAACAGGTTTATCGTTTGCATCCAAAGGAATTTCTCTCCTTCACGGAGAGGTCGAAATAAAATGTGAACATTAAAAGAAAAGTCTTTCGTGGGATTTGAATTTTCCGTGCGACTCTGCGCGCGAGCATCTTCGGCACTATAGCCAAACGATATTGGCAGCACCACTACCCAGGCAATCCCCTTTACGAAAAGGAAAAGAGGATTTTTGAAGCAGGCAGGCGCACCACCCGCCGTCAGATCAAATGGGATTCGTAGGAAGAAAATATCGAGCCCCAAACCCTCCCGTCTGTTTCTCGAATAATTGCCCCGACGTGCTGATTGCACTTTGCGATGAGGTGACTTTGTAATAGTGCAGTGAAGTATATTTTCAAAAGTAGTGTGAATTTTTTTTTAATTGGATTTTCTTAGTTTTATTTTTACTTTTTCTCGCTTGTTTTTATATAAATATAAAAATTACATGTCGCTCTTAGTTAAAAAAATGAATTTCACATCTAGGAGAGAAATTTTGTTGGCGAGAGAGCTTTTAAAAAATACAAGGCTCGTTACTTCTTTCAGTTTTATTTAGAAAGCGTTGATGCATAGATATACATTTTTTTTATTTCAAGCTGAAAAGCATACGATAGAAAGTGAACCTTTATCAAATATTTGATAATGGCATGTTGCTATATGAAAGGTACAGAAAAGAGGTTTTAAAATGTAAGATAGTTTCATTGCTTTTTGAAGTATGTGAAAAAATATACTTTTTACAATCGAAAACCATATTTCCTACGTGACTGTCAGTTTGTACCACTTACATTTGATCAGTAGGATTATCAATTCGGCAAGGGAGGAGATCTGACGTTTATTACATTAGCTTAGGCTTTAAGGAAAAGGAGAGAAAAGAACTCAAGACTCTCTCTTGGCTTGATCTGATTTTGTTAAGGAGTTTTACGAGCTTAATTGAATCGCGCCTAATTCAGTTTTTTTTTTTCTTCACGCCTCGGCATTGAGGTTTTGACGTTCCCTCATTATTAAGCACCTCTAGAAGCTAAATAAAGTCGGGTTAGCTGAATGAAAAAAGGAAAATAGCCAAGTGAACGAACACACGGGGTAAACCGAGTGATCGCGGCTTGTTTTCTTAAGTGAATGCTTTTCTTGCGAAATTCATTTCACGATTTGTTGTGCTTGAATGATGCTGTTGCTTGAATTTGTTGTTGTACATGAATTCCAATTTATATTCAGTTGTTTTGAATATCTCAGTTTAGTTATTTCCTCGCTTCTTTTAAAAGATAAAAAAATCACATTACTTCATAACCTTGGATATTTACACATTTACTACCATTCATTACACAGCAAGATTGGTGGTAACCATGCAATTTTCGACGGGTGTAACAAAGCAAAGTCCCACAGAATATGAGACTAAAGTAAAACTGCAGCTACCACGAACTGTAAAGACACTCTTACATTACAGTAGCCTCTGTTCTCGTTAAAAAAGAGCGGCAAAGTAACAAAAAAGAGAAAAAAAAAGTTTCACTGTGGGAGATGCAATTTACTCGCGTATGGAAGTCAAGGCTCGCCTTTGTCATGCTAATTTCCGTCGCGTTTTAGCGTCCTCATCCTTTTTAACTATATGACACATGCCTTTTTGCTCCTCCTCACTGTTCATCTTTATTATAAATGTACAATGGATACAGCAGCGTCCTATTTTTGTTACGGATGTATTTTGAAATATGATCTCACAGAATTTTCGGACAGACATTGCGCTTATATCATTTCATTACTCCGCGGACTGGTTTGCTAATCGATGCGCGCGTGCGATATCGAACTCGAAATCAAGATCGAGTGACAATGCGTAGCGGCATCGACACTCATTTCTAAAAGAATCTTATCTGCCGATATTTGTCGGTTGGTCCCTTTATTATTAAATTCAATTACAGCCTCTTCGAAACTCGAAACTTAAGCAACACTAAGAATATTGTTTACTTAAAATAAGCGTATGAGAGAAGCGTGCGCCGCATCAAGCTGAGTTACGATTTAGAATCAGATTTTACTATTTAACATTGCTACGATCACTGCCTCCAAACTCGCCAAAATGCATACATCGCTAAAAAAGATGGCAAATGCATTGTGGCAATCAGACTGGTTGAAAGGTTACCTTTCTAAGCTGATTGCCGACGACGAACATTGAGCGTCCGTCACCCCGTTGTTTGAGCCGAAAGCCGGCAATATCAAACAACGCAACTCGAGCCACCAAAACACTGCACAATCTTTAGCGCACGGTCGGAATCATCACAGACTTCGACTCGAGCCAATCAAACAGAGTAAGGAGCAGTTGATACGTGAATAATGAAACCCCATTGGCAGGAGATTAAGAAGTTCACGCCTTCGACCTTCGTGCGAGGAAAGGGAATTGAGATAAGAAGAAATTTTTCGCATCAGACTCAACTGGCGCGGCGACGCGTTTCATTCTTCCTAGATCAGGCTCTGACAAAAGGCAAGTCGCTTATCGTTGAGCACGCGTGCGTTAATCGTACTCTATTAATTGTACTTCCAACAACTATACCTTTGTAAAATTTAGAGATACGATTTCCCTGCCGACATAAAGTTAATCACTTCTTAATTTTAACTAACTCAGTTTGCGATTGAGATTTCAAACTTTTATAAATGTAATTTGTACCGTTAGTTTTAATTGCAATCTTCCTTTGGTTTCGAGCGTTCCGGTTTATTTGTTATATTTAAGCTATTTTATTGTGAGTTGAATAAATCCGGCGTTCTTATATCAAATGTTTTAAACTTCCACTCTCAGTCCTTCTCACCCTAACAATTTTGTACTGGTTTTTAAACTAGTTCATATTAACTTACTGTGAACTCTGTCTTTTATTGTTACAGTATGCAACCGTTTTGCCAGTGGTGTATACGCGATGATCGGAGCTGTTAATCCTGACTCCTTCGATATTCTACACTCGTATAGCAACACTTTCCACATGCCGTTTGTTACTCCTTGGTTTCCAGAGAAGGTGAGCAAGTATTATGTATTATTCATTTTTTTCTACATTAAACGCGTTTCTTTTTAAGCTTCCGTCATCGTATGTTAGTCTGACAGTGGCATCTAAATACTTAAGTCAATTGAGAATTGAGTAAAAGGTTTTTATATAAAAATGTTAAATTTACCTCTTACAAAAAATAATTACAAAGTAATTTTCTTTAATTTATGATATCGAAAAGACTTTTTACATTTATTTTTATCAATTTATCAATACCTTGACTTGTAATAAATACTGTATTAACATTAGAATTTTCCATTACTCACTCGAAAATTCGAAAATATGTATAAGATAAACAATTGGCTCATTATCTCATTAGTATGGTGCACTAATCAACGTAAAAATTGTAATCGTACAAAAATCAAAACAATAAAATTGTAAATATTAGTTTATTAGTTCGCAGTAATAGCTTATGATAAGCTCTAGATCTTTTTTATCGTAAATCTGTCGAAAAAACCACACTAATAATACGTTTTCGAGAAAGACGCTATGATGACACGCAATCTCAAATACGTTAATGTAATTATCGACTCTCAATTTTAACATCAATAAATACAGAAAGTATAGCTATTGGAGATGTATATGTAAAATTAAAAAAAAACTGCAAGTAAGCGTAAATCGAAGTACAAATATTGATTAGTGATGATTAATCGAGCAAAACCAATCTCAGTTGAGCATTGCGAGCAATCGCGGTTATTCCTGTTACAAATGCAAGATGTGTATTTCCCTGTGTGCACTGGGATTTTACAAGCGAATGATTACAGCGCCAATCATTTTTGTTCTACGAACGTCGCACTCTACTTTGGGTATTATAAATAGCTCGAAAAGAAAAGAAAATAAAAGAAAAGTCGAAGCGAAGTGAATGTAAATTTTAATCGTTGCGATGTTTTTAAATACATTAAAGTATCGTTAGAATTTGCATTTCCCCGGGAGCTCTGTGCCAACTTTATGAATGAGATGCTGGCGCGGGCGCAATTCATGCAAACTCGCCGCGGCGAATCGCATAAATTATGAGGCAAATAGATGCCGGAGCAGCTCTCTATCTCGTCCTGGTCATCTTTGAAAATTTTACTGTCTCCCCCCCCCCCCCCCCTCTTTCGTACTGCGCGCTATAAAGTTTTAGATTGCTGATGTTAATTTGAAATTATTCAAATTGCCGTGTTACCGCCACTGCAAAATTTGCACTCGGAACTTTTATTGGAAAGTCCGATACCCTTTGGATATTTATCTTTTGCCTATCATGTAAAATCAGGAAAATAATATTCTTCACTATCGTAAATATTGATACAATCCAGTGAGTAAACTAATCTTCTTATTACTATAGCTAAGTTTAGTAAGAAAACGATGATGAACAAGGCGTGAAATCGAAACATACCAATTGTCCAAGCTATGACTCATCACAAAAACGAAAAGTAATAAAGGCCCTTCGATGAAATTCCTCTCACGTACAGGCAAACACAGCCTAACTAGGGAAATAAGCGAAATCCTTTGGGAAGATGCTTTAAGCTAACGCAAAATGCATATATTTTTATCGCCTGAGCGAGTTAGAGAGATTACAAAAAAACACGCGTGTTCGCAGGTATTACAACCGTCATCCGGAGCCGAAGACTTCGCTATAAGCATACGGCCGTATTATCACCACGCAATTATCGACACTGTACGACACTACGGCTGGAAAAAGATCATGTATCTCTACGACTCGCATGATGGTGAGTAAAACCCCTTTTGTTATAAGCTTACATCCAATTTTAGTGCGAGACATATACATATATACACCACAAGTTAGATGATACGTATTTCTCTTTCTTTGATAATTATTACTCATCGTGTCTTTCAACGGCTGGAAATGAAAGAATTTCCGTTAAATATGATAGTTGCCTTGGAACTTATTTTAATATATTTATAACTATTATGAACGTCACAGTTAATTTTTTCAATAACTTATCATGTGATTATTTCTGAAAAGATTGTATTAGGATTGAAATATAAGACTTTCAGCAGCTTACATTTATAAATATCGCCATCATTTTTACCACATTTTTTTGCGGTTTACGATTGATAAATATTTTTTCACTGAATCACGTCTAGATCCCAAAACTTACTATATTATTATGTAACCTCTTTCAGTAAAAAATCAATCGAAATTTTTAGTAAAAAATCACAGTTCTCAGCATCGAAAGGAGTAAACACATCTCAGAGGACGCGAATTCGTTGCCAGTCTACCCTCATCTCGTCGGCAACTACTATTCTCCCACCTTTTACAGCCTCTCTTTTATCCTTCTAAGTCTTACAGGTCTCCACTTCCTCTTATATCCTCTCTTTTTTTGCCTTTGCCCTTCGATCCTGCGCTTTTATGCGTGTCTCAGCGGTCTCGGAAGAGCTTTTTTGCTTTCTATAGGAAAATACAAATACGCGACCAGCGACACCCATTGGACTTTGATACGATTACTACGCACTAAACTCGCGGATGTACTACACATAAAGTTTAGTGTGCGGAAAAATTGTATTATTAGAAGAGGGTAAATATAGGAAAATGGAACTATCATTGGAATGATTATACCTGTTTTTGCCTTATTTTATTCGTGATAAGATTGAAAAATATGTTAGGTGAGTGCACTCTGAAATTTAAAGTGTTATTTGATCGATTTTAAGATGGATAGAGGTCGAGCATTTTTTTGAAAAATAAATTTTCACGCAACCTGCCCTTATTTAAAAAACTTAAATTTATTGTAAGACTATATATAAGTCTGACTTATTTTTCCCGATGGATTCATACAAATCGGAATAATATAAAAGTTCTTTTTTGCGCATTAGTTACATTTCTTGAAAACTAACAATAAGAAACTCTAAAGAAGTGATATTTTTTGCGATTTCTCTTTAGAAAAAAAATGATTAATTAAAAGATTATCTTCAACGACATATACCCACTGAATATTATCAAATCCATGACATATATCCGAATGTTTTAATTAGATGAATCATGCACCGAACAGTAAATAACATCGATGTACCAATTCCGAAATCGTCAGTCAATACAACATATTTTCCGATAATCAAATTCTGTTGTCTTGTTCATTTTTCAATGAGAAAATCATGGAATGACACGTGACAAACACGCTGATAAACGACTCGTATAATATCGCAAGCAAAGCACGAATGTCCAAATATAGCGTAACCTATCGGTATTAAGATATCAAGATTAACGAGGTATGTTCATGAACAGTTCTGTCTTTCGCCCCACTCCCTGATTTATTAAATAATAACGGGAGCGCAGTATAGCTGAGCCATTAATCGCCGAAAAATCGTCGGAGAAAGACTCGACGCATGCGATGACAAAGCGATCTCCTCGAGCACGAATAATAACCAACATTTCCGGGCGACACAAATGAGAAAATAGCGGCGTCCATTAATATGAATCAGACTCGGGGATAGCTTTCGCTTGGGAGACGACGTCGACGACGTAGAGAGATGGCTCGCGATGATCGAGTTAGAGTTTCGGGTGAATGACTTTTTTTCTTCGTGTTGGCGCCATGACTTTGGTGGTTTCACAATCGTACCACTGGGATTCGGATGATTATTAGGTTTAAATGAAGTCAACTTTATTTTCATGGGTTTACAGAGTGGAGTGCTCCTTTGATATTGACAATGCACTTTGAAATTTACATTGAAATGGCAATGTCTTGAATATGTGAAAAGTCTAGTTGGATGAATGTCATGATTAAGACCAATGCACCATCAATATTTTTCTTTCATTCGTTTTCCGTGCACAATTTCTTCAATCTATCAATGACTGCAAATGGTAACAAGGTTCATTATACAATATTCACCCAAGCGAATTACGGTTGGCTGTTCATATTCTACTTTAATAAGCCATAAAGCATCCTTTTGATATTTTTTGTGCAATCTTAAAAGATATTTCAAAGCACTACGACTATTCATCTGAATCGAAGTATTTCTTTCAATACTTTTGCATCGGTGAATCAAGTGCACTCGTATGTTCTCTCTGTACTCGTTGTTCATTTTGCGATATTCCACATAGAAATCTAAATTTTTATCAGTGCAAAAACTACGAATATTTTTTAATTTTATTATGAATTTAAAATGGCAAAAAAATCACAGCAGCAAAATAATTGATATCGCAGACAGTCATCAAAGGCTTCGCTTCTCTAATTATCTTTGTCTTTGATCGCTGTACTGAAATGTACTTGCATAAATTAGACGATAACGCAAATGATGATAATAATTGAAATTTGATGTTAGTGCACGATGCTTTCTTAGAAGTTCTTTACAATTGTACATAAGATAATTAAAGCATGCGACAGTAAAAACGTCTTTTCGAGAAATCGTTAGTTTTAATTAGAAGATTTTATGACATACGTTCGAATGAGATCACGGGAATCGCTTTAATTATTTTTCTATAGTTATTTTGATTAAGCGAAGAAAACAATAGTTGATAACTGCGTAAAAGGTGCCTGTAATACTACTATGTTTTGTAATCACCAATTGAAAAAAATTCAATTTTATTCTTAGATGTAAAGAAATGCTTTTAGAAGTAAACACTTGATTGACATAATTCACTTTGCAATTAAAAAAAAAAATATTTACTTAGAAAGTCACTTACGTGTAAATTCAAAGCGATAGCCAAAAAGTAACGGTTGAGCAATTTAAAACGAGTAATGCGATAAGGACGTATCTACAATAATAGTGAAGTAAGACGAAGATAATAGCTCGAGATAGAAAGAGAGAGAGAGAGAGAGAGAGAACTTCTAAAGGCAACATAAAAGCTCGCGTAGTAGTCATTCACGTTCACGCGGTCTTTTCACGCGAAACGCGTCGTCGCGCGCGCGCACCCCCGAGAAAGTTTTCGCGTCAAAGACCGCGAGGAGCAAACGCGTGGACAGGTATTTAACGAGCGGTAGCTTCAGAGATTGATCGTGGGTAAGGTGAAACGAGTTTGTGTTTCAGTTTGTGCTCTCTCGTGCTTCGGATTTTCTGTTGAGCTGTATTCCACCGGAGCAATGAGGAACGACGTGACAGGAGTCGATTGGCCTTAAATCGTTTGGTAAAATTTATGGCTTTAGAATGATATACTGAATCCAGGAAAATGTATTCTTGTCTTGTCATGAAAGTTGTGTGAAAATAAATGTATTTTCACAGGTAGGTGATATATATATTTTCTGAGGGAATCAATTATATTTATTTTGAAAATCGTCATTTTTAATTCTGGAGTTTCTCTTTTTACATTAATATTTTTATTAAGGTTCATTTCAATATATAACCAAGTTCATTTTTAATGATTTCAATATTTATTAAATTTATTATTTTGAGAAAAACTTATACAATATAAAAACATTATAAACTTTATGTAATATTACTGTCAACAACATTATGCAATCTTTAGACTCATTACTTAAAAATGATACCTTATAAAAAGTTAATACAAAAACGCAAGAACAAGTAATTTTTTCATCAATAATGAAAATTTAAACTAATTAAACTATAGTATGAATGTGCATCTGAAAAAGCTAATCTAATTTAGTCATAACTTATTGTCAACTCAAGTGTAAACAATGGCGTAATAATAGACATGTACAGAATAGAGTTAATTAAATGATAGCTACATTCATCATCTTATCTCGAGCATACCAAATGCTCAAATGATTTTGCCCTAGTTAATTGTTTGATTTCCGCGTTGGCGAGCATTTCCGCAAGAATCAGCGCAAGAAACAATCACCTTGAATCCAAATGTAAAGTCACGCTACGCTGCGTTCGAGTTATGTAGATAAAAAAAAAAGAAATAAATTCCACATTTCACAAAGAAAGTTTATTCAACGTACATTGACACTGATTTGGAAAGGAAAAAGGAAAGAAGCAAATTTAAAGAGTACGCTCTCGACTAGCAAAAATTAATCGAAAGACTATTTTAATCAACAAATCAGTCAACAACGAATAAAACCTTCATTTGCACTGCGAAGGTCGCGTGTATTCTCACAAGGTCACAAAAAATCTATGTACTGCATATGTACGACACATATTAAATGATGAATTAAAGCTGTAAACATTTGCGAAGGTGATAAAAATATACTCGTTTAATTAACGCTATACGCAGTCATGTAATTAATCGTTGCACTTTGTATAAGAATGAACTTTGAGGCGAAGGGGGAGGGGTTATTAACCGCTGTTCCGAGGGGCACGTTATTACAGAGAAAGTGAGAGCAGCTTTTGGCAAATCAGCCCACCACCGGCAAGCTATATACGTTGGGTTGAGGGACAGTGGAGCGAAGCGAGAGTTAAGTAGTTTAGCAACTGTGCAATATGAAACTTGATAATGACTTACGTTACTTTTAGCGATACTTTGGATGATGTGTTAATTACGAAAATGTAATTGTGCCATTTTTCTTTCACGCGATTAAATTATCTAGTGTGGAATATTTTCGTTACGTTAACAATAATATCATTATGAATTGGATAGATAAATTTAGAAAGTTAATAAATACTTGGATGGCACATTTTGAATAAAAGCACTTTCAAGACGGATTGAATAAATCCGTTTTTGCGAACGCGAAAATTCGTCCTAAATGTAGAACAGGCTAAGATAGTACAAGCAATTCACGGTTTTCTCACTTGAGCTGCGATCGCATATACAGACACCTAACTTCGATAAGACTAGAAGCTTGACGCTATTGCACTGAGATCGAGAAGTTTAATTACCGAATGCAAATGCAAATATATTTTAGGAACGAGCGTAAAGCGGAACGATGGCTATGTATATATAATGCTCCCCTCAACATTTTCTCTCGCGGTGAATAAACCCACTACGAAAAAAATTTGTATATACTGAGAGAATTAATATTCTTAAATTTTCCAAAATCTATAGTAAAAATTACTATAAAACAGTAATTGTAGGGTGTTATCTGGCTATAGTAAAAATTGCTGTCTAATATAGTAAAATTTACTATAATCTATAGTAATTACTACTAGTAACAGAATACAGGAGATAAGCTCGGTTAATTTTTTATCGGTTCGGGAAAATAAATTAATTATTAAATATTATATTTGATTTTGGATAATATATACAATTGCTACTGTGCACATGCCCAATATGACCCAGTAATTTTTACAATATTCACTGTAAAAATGGTTCAATTTATATACTAATTTAAACAATAAAAAAACTTAATACTTTTCATTATAATACAAAATAATTTTTTATTATAAATTACAATGAATTTTTCAATATTGCTATATAAAAATTATTATGACCATTGTAGACATTAATAAACGTGTAATTAATTTTATGATGACTCGAGCATATTCCACGATCATTATCTTGGGATTGAAATAAATTTTACTGTAATTCTAGTACATTTTATTGCAGCAATTCTCTCAGTGTATAAGCTAATGAGTCTTTTCAAAATTCCAAAAAGAGATGTTTTCGAGAAATAGTTACTTTAGTATTTTGAAAATGCTTTAAAAAAGTTTTCAATGGTAGCATCTATATGAAACTTCAAATCAATAAAAAGCTCTTTTGTAAACGGGAGTATGTGTCATGAAAGCGAATAGATATTTTCGTAAATATTTAAAAACCGCGACTTTTTATATTCTATCACATTTCAATCATTTGATATTTTCTAATAAAAAAAAAGTTTCATGTAAAAAGATTTAAAAATGAATAATATACCTCAATTTATATAACAAAAATTCGTTTAAATTTTTTTTTCGATGGAACAATTGTATAGTACAGGAAATTTTTCCAAAACGTATTCAATTTCTGTGAAATATTTGAAATACAATATCTAAAAGCAAGAAGAAGACTGTCACGCAAACAGAAATACCCTGGATTTGAAAGAGTTATGTTAGAAAACCCAGGGTCATTTATTTACAAAAAATCCGCGGAACAAAACGACCAAGTTACACAAAAGGATTCAACCAAACGACTACGCTCTGGCACCTGGATCCGCGTCAGCCTTCGACTATGGGACGGGGAATCCCGGATAAACTTTAACGAACGTTTGCGCGCGCGACAAATTGGAAAGAAGTACAATAGGGAGTAGGGAGGAGGAAAGTTGCGTCGAGGAGATATTTTGAATTTTAAGTTCGAGTAATGCTGTTTGGCAACTTTCAAGAAGAGATTTCGTTAGAAGAAAATTAAAGTTTTGGAAAAGTTATTGAATTGGTTCAATTTTTATGGAGCAATTACTTCATTCATGGTCTGAGCGTTTGCGTGATTTCGATTGTATGACGAGCTTCAATAAAATTGGAATATATACTACATTATTGATATACGCAGTGTATTTGTATCACTGATAACTAGTATTTTTTACGTTCTAACTATTTAGTAATTTACAAAAATATAATTAATAGTATCATCATCATAACAGCAATACGCTATTTATGAACAATAATCTTCTATATAGTTTTCCCAAACTTATCATAGAAAATACAAATCACAAAGAAATAAAGAATTATCGCAAAAATATGTTAATAAAACTTGAGCTATCAGAAGATATACACAAGAGGCTACGATCGACTCCTAAATCCGAAAAAGCCTATCGTATTAATGAAAACAAATTAGAACTTGAAACTATAATATCATGAAAAATCTACGGTGATCCCCCTCCCTTTGCAACCAACGACGACTACGGCATGACGAAAGAAGGTGGAGGTGGAAATACGCGCAGCATCGTTACCGTGTAACAGGTGTGTGTATACAACATTGCTTTCCCGGCCAGTGTGTATATGCATTGTGTACGAGGATAGGAAAAGTGTCTGTCAATAACAATGCCGTTTCACGGTCGTGCTCTGGTGGGGCAGATTGACCGACTGCAGGATAGTAGCCGAGGCGTCTTTTTTATATAATAATCGCTCGGTTCTCGCGTTAGCTTTCCAGTATCCTGATGATCGTCCACCCGCGTGCGAATATGCCGGACAGCTTTGCTCGTGCAATTTAATTAAACTTTGTGTCATCGTTGTCGCTGTGATTGTTACTTATTCTTCTTCTTATCTTCGTGGACTAGAGAGATTTTTTTGATGTGATTGATGAGCGGTCGATAGGTGGCCGATAATTGGAAGAGTTTTCGGTTATTCGGTGAGTTGATAGATTAATATTGATCTGCTTATGTTGTTAAATAACTGCAATGACGATAGACAATGTGAATAGAAACATAAAATAAGTAACTTCAATATGAGTTGAAATTCCAAATTTGAATGAAGCAAGAATGAATAACTATTTGAGTATGTTTGTATTCAATTGATATAATTTGATTCATAGTACATTTTATATTATGTATTAGCATAATATTATGCTAATACATATCATTACAATTCGTAAATATAACACTGATTAAATTTGAGATGTTGCTGATTAAGCTTTATTTCCAGCATTTCAATACAATGATATTTCAAATGTTATATACAAAATGTACGATGGCTTCTTTCATAAGTTAATATTAATTGAACATTCATACGATTCATAATAAGCAAAAGAGACAATGAATTTTCAGACAAAACAATGAATCAGTAGATAAATTGATATCATGAAAACAATCTGACGATGTCAAAGATTCATGTGTATTTACTAAAACTCAAACTGTCAAAAATCTTGAATGAAATTATATTGATTAATTGCTATATAACAAAGTAATGATTTAGATTCAAACAAATTCGCCTGGCGTAATTTTGATAAATTATTGCATCATAGGTGCCGAAGTCTAAACTCATTCCATAAGTTTATTGCTTTTTTTTCCAATCATACCAAAATTAGCAATGAAAATATCTTAATTGATTGTTCGGTTTGTCGCACGAGACAAATTCCAAGATTGAGAGCGGGAGGGGAGGAGCAAGTGCGGAAATAGTACATTTCGATAGTAAACGTTGGCGCCCGAGCGAATTAAGAGCGAAGAGACAGCACAAGGGTAAAATCACTGCCTCGCACATGTATCTAACCATATTTTTCGATACGACGTGTACGTGTGTGAGACGATTTCTCGAGCGTGCGTAAAGTCGAGTCCCCACGCGCGGTGCGTCGAAAAAAAATTTCACGCAATATATAAGCAAACCGGCTTGCTGAAAAATATGCAGATATAAGAGAAAAAGAATGCGGAGCGGATTCAAGTGTTATTGTCACTCACGAATCCAGTTTCGGTGACCTTGGTTATCTTGGTGCTTCGGCCGCTCGGACGCGTACAAGTGCGTTCAATTTTCACAAATATTAACTTTGCTAATAGTCTGGGATACTCAACGATTGACGTGTGACGGATATTTAATATAATGCGTTTCACTAATGAAGAGAAGAAAAACCAATAGAAGCTATTCAGTCTTGAGATGCCAAATTAGCAGAAGGAAGAGAGGTAAAAAAGAGACAGAGATAAAGGGAAAAGATTCTTGTGTAACTTATGTTCAATGTAAATATTGATCTTGATTTGGGGAATTTCCTCAATACACTATGACATATTTATGCGACAAGATTTTAGTTTTGAGGAAAGTCATTAAAGTATTACTAAATTAACTGATTAAATCGTCGAACACCATATCGTCAACCAGTTCTAACGATATTTCTCGAACGTAGGCTGCGACTACGGTGTGTCGTCAAAAATGCACTCACGTCATTAATGCGTGCGTGTATTTCCGACGTCACTCGCTTCTTTATAGATTTGTTGGTAAGCTACTTCAAGTAAGATGGATATTTTTTGGTAGTGTAAATCATCGCATACCTACAAAGTGGAGGTCAGTTGAACGTTTTTCGATCTGAGTACTGTGCAATTTACGATAGATTTGTTAATCAATAGATTACTTTATACTATTATTTGTATTCATCATTTGATGAAATAATTTACATCAAGTAATTGCACTATTATAATCCGTAAGCTTTGAAAAATCCCTGTACATTGCTGATCTACGTTCACATGGTGTATAATTCGACCTTGAATCGTTTATCACCACAGACCAACAATCTCCTTTCACAACTGCATATTATCATGCAAAGTAATCAGTCAGCAGGCCAATAAACGCTCATTACAGATAATAACAAATTGTCGAGTGAACTATCGCGGGCAGCAGCGCAAAAAAACTCACGTTGCCTTCGTATATCTCAGTTTTATAACCTTCGATTTTATAAAAGTTTACTCGATTCCGCTATATACCACGCGACGCAAGATGCAATTATCCCATTTAGATTCACAAGCACATACGACGCTCACGTGAACTGGAATAGAAATCAAATTATCGCACTTGTCGCTTGGAATTCCATTTGCCCGTAACGCTAACTAAATGCAACCTGATGCGATGTATATACCGAAATCACTCCGACTATACATATATCTACAACACGACTTTGGCCCGGTGACACGCGGAAAACTCTTTCCTTTAATAATTCCACTTTAATGGATGCGCGAAAAAATGCCATGACACTCTATTATTTTTTTTTGATGAACTCTTTTTTTTCTTTTCCTCGCTGAAAATTCGGTTTTACCGACAAATTGATCGGACTATCCTGTTATATCACTCAATTTTTTTTCTCGTTGAATTTTTTTATCTCTCCGCGTACTTTTTTTAGTCGATCGATCACTGAATTCGTATATTGGATAACGCGCTATCTATTTTATTAAATCAATTGTCAACTGACCAAAAACTAATAACCTCAATAAAACCTCGAAATCGACTTAAATGTTCTCATTTATAATTTTCCAACGATTGTCCTTCAGAAAATATATCAATTCAATAATACCTTCGCAATCATTCTATTCTTTTTTTTAATTCTTGAGAAGTTTCAAGCGTATGTTTACAATGACTAACGTGCAACTTATCATTTTGTTGGGATAAGATAGTGTGAAGAAATGATGTTTATATCTGAGACATAATATCATCAATACATTCCGCTCATGAATAATCAATCACTACAATGCAAATTCTAGAATGACATGAAAGATTTATCGTCCCGTTCCTTTTCCACAATTATTATCTGCGAAAAGTAATAATTTTACCGGTGCAAATATAAACAAAAAAATAAACCGTTTGCTAATTAGCCTTTTATAGTGTCGATCGTAAAGAGTGTCGCATGCGAAAGTTATGCAACGAGATCGATAAAAATATCTTATCAGCGGCAAGGAACAATGAGTCAGCAAACAAACAGTTTTTCCAGTAACAATCGAAACGGCGCGAATGCAGCGAAACAATGGAGAGAGTGTACCTATCCTGTACAGTATCGATGTCCTCTGGTGCGAACATTTAACTGCCATAAACTGACTGTTTCGGTAGTCGTGTTCGAAACGCAATCGACTTCCGGGCGCCGATCGATCATCACGCGACCAAAAACGAACAAAAAATCAACGAAAGTCGCGAGAGAGTAGTCGTTGGTGTATTGATTTCTTGTCAACTTAGCCAGTACCTCGTATATCAGCAATTGGAAAACCGCTCTTCGCACTGCGCAGAGCACAACTGCTCTCGTGAGCGTGAGCGTGCGCGCGCGCGCAATTGCGATTAAGTGCATTGTCGAGCTTACAACTCTTCTTGCGATTTGCTCGGGCTAAAATGGACGATCGATGTATTGCACTTGCGAGCGCATTTTCCTTCAATTTTGCTCTTTGCTAAGTGAAAAACAAAAATTATTTTTTTGAAGCACACTGAGCGGCGGTATGCTCTATTGTTTTAAAGGTTCCGCGATTATCGACCGAAGAATTTCCGCTCGCTCATAATGCTTAAAATTAAATTTTAATTACTTCACTTCGTCGACCAAATTTCAATTTGCGAGTAATTACACATTACATACACGCGTATTCAAAAAGTTCAATATGTAATTACGCCAATGTGAATAAATCAGAAATTCTCTATCGGTAATCATCGCAAAAATTACTTTGTCATTACTTCCGAAATTCAATCTCACCTCGCTCTTACTCCTTCTATTTCTCTCTCTCTCTCTCTCTCTCTCTCTCTCTCTCTCTCTCTCTCTCTCTCTCTCTCTCTCTCTCTCTCTCTCTCTCTCTCTCTCTCTCTCTCCCTATTTCTCTCGCAGGTATTGAAATAAGCGAGCTCACGAATCATACTTACACGATACGCAATTAAAAGGCAAGTTGAAATGCAAGGTGCACACATGTATACACATACATATACACACATATTACACACACGCACACACATATATATATACATATTGTATATATACACACACATACATAACCACAGACGCACATGGGGTTGGCCTGGAATATCTACTAACCAGATTCCAAGCCACATATCTTAGGAGCGAGAACGCGAGGGGCTTGTATCGAAGCTTGAGCTCGAGGGCGCACTTACCTCCTCCCCATATCTCTCAGACAGCGAGCCGACATTTATGCCGTGCGATTGTCGTCTCTCCCGCGCGAAACCTCGCATATATACCAACCTCAACCTCCTCATCTGATTAATTGCGCGTGCCGCTGGACTCCGCTCTACCTCACCTCGGGGAATCGGATTTCTGCGGGCGTCACATAATAGAATCATTAGCGTTTGGGATTTGAGCTTTGATTTTCCAATGATGTTAGTTTCCTCCATTCAAGGAATTAGTTGCGTTTGTTAATCGGTACGGGACAAAGTCGGTATGTGTACTTCAATTTAAGTTGCCGTGGGTAGAGTATACGTGTATCGTATTGACCGGTTCAGATTCCTCATCAATGAGACTCAATGTAACTGACGGAATAGTTCATCAGTAGTGTGCACTATGAATCTCTAGTCCTGAGCAGATTATACGAACTTATATTATGGATACTAATGATACGATTACTAGGAGTCTGAAAGCCCATTGGCATACAAAGTTAATGTATTCCGATATGTGACATTAACGGTGTATCACTGTCAATGTTACATATCGGCAGTAACAAAAATTTTACAATTATCGTGGGCTAAATAGAATTGAAGGAACGTACATATTATAAATCTGGAAAAGTATCAAAAGACATCAGTTGTCAATACAATAAAATAGTACATCACTGTGGTTATTACATACGGTAACGTCGATTATACGTTACATTGTACATAATCCCCGAAGCAAATTCAGTAACAACCGCTGCACAGTTCGATCGTACCACATGCAAACTCCTATGCGAACACATATATACGCGTATTCCTCTTTGGTTAGGGATTTTATGAAGCGCGCACTTGTGATCGTTATTTTTTGAATGAGAAAAATTTCTCGCCATTGTGGCGAGCTCGCATTGGGCGCACATTTTTTTGCTCTTTTCCATACCAATGCGGAACTATTCCACCAGCGCGCAAACGTATAAATTGAAGTCTGGATCGTCGCGCCGCTCGGGATTGCGCCAAGTGCCTTTTGTTTGGCCGCGCGACAGCACAATGCGTATATACGCCGACGCGTTTGCAGATGAAATATTTATCGCTCGATTTAATTAGTTTATTTCGACGACGACGATGCGTGCGTTGTCCTCGATTGTTTCAGTGCCCGCGGGTTTGGTATCAGGTCTGACGGAATAAATATTTTTGTGGCCGGTTCTGCGCGATCAGTTCAAAATAACGATCGTTACAGTATCACTGGAAAAAATAATCAGTATTTGCATTTTACGAAAATACTGAATTATATCTGCAATAAGGAATAAAATTAGAATGATTTTACATGAAAATTACAATCGACGATTTACAAATGCAAAAGTCATATTCAGCGTTATTGAGTCGGAACGTAATTACTGACAAATTACCATTATCCCACGCCCATCCAGCTAGTTAGCGATGCGATAATCATTTTGGGTTCTTTATTTCGCAGCGGTCAATTACAGAATACTATGGAAGTTCATAGTACTCATCACTTTAATTTCAATTTTAATTTTCGATTGTCGTTTTATTTTATTTTTGTTTCCTATTTATTCGTTTTAGCAGCCGGAGAGTATGAGAAGGCATAGATTATAACCAACGAAAGAGAGTATCTAGGAAAAAAAAGCTACCATGGATCATTCACTTTACCGTCAAGTAATGATTGGTGTCATTTGTAAGTATCTAAATATCGTGAAGCCGCAATGGAAATAAAAATGCGAAACGGGAGCGCGAGTAAATTAGATTTACTTGTGGGTTCAAAGACGATCGAAGATTTGCGAAGAGTCAAAAAAATCTAGGACGTGGCGGGCAAGAAACAGCGCGAGAAGAGGACGATCTGGCATAACAATAAAAGTAAACGACTTTGGCCATTTTCTACGAGAGGAAGTACCTATCGCGCAAAATCGATTAGACCTGAATTATATTACGATCGGGAGAAGAGCGACAAAGTTAAAACGTACGCTTTTTCTCACATCGTGAATTGCCAAGGAAGAGATAGTCCATGCACGAAATGAGCTCATAAAACTGGCAATTATTTGTTCTTCTTATTTTTACTGAATGTCTTCCCGAGTTGTAAACAACTATTTTTTATTTAACGTAATGGCCTTTCTTTTTTTATGCCGAAACTTTACATACCGAAAGAGATTTGTATAAGTCCGAAAAGCAACCGATTTGTAAACAGAATTACTCTTGTATTTGTTTTGCAAATCATTGGTACGGGAAGTAGTTACTTTGAATTAACATACACTTCATTAACGAACGACTAATGAAATTTTCATGCTGACCACACTCATTAGTCTTGCAAATCTCCCAGTTTCCTTTACCGAATTGGAATTAATAACCTATGATCTCACTTCTAATCCTAATCGAATCAATCTCTGAAAAGAAATAAACTAACAATGGCAAGTAGATTAGTCGCGAATGTGATCACCGCATCTTTACTTGATACTAATCTCGTGACGTTCAGTGCAGTAAGGCAAACCGTGCGGCGGCAATCATACTAAAACCATTACTAATCAAAAGGGAGTGAGCTGGGACAAGATATCCAAGGAGCTTAGCTTGCAGATATACTCATCGTTAACGCACATACTGCAACCCCATCTTCCTCAACTAATCTCGCTTGGAGTCGATCGCATAAATCTATCCCTGGCGAGACTTTTCAAAAAACCCGCAAAATTTGCAGGTAATCTGCTGATAGTCGACAGCGGATTTCACGAGGGCTGGAGTACACCGATGATTGATAAGCTTGAAAGTAAGGATCCCGAGGTGACGATTAACAAGGAACAAGGTACATGGATTGTCAACCTCATGTACGTTGGTGTCGGGGTCGGCTCGTTAATACCACTCTTGCTCATGGACACGATTGGCCGCAAGTGGACGATGCTGATAGCCGCCATACCCAAGATTAGCAGCTGGATTATTTTCGCCTTCGCCCTGGATTACCGGGCGTTCTACGTCGGTCGTTTACTCGCTGGTGTTGGTACCGGTATCACTTATTGCGTTGCACCTATGTACATAGGCGAAGTTAGTACGAAGAGAACAAGAGGGCCTTTGAGTGCTTCACTCGCGGTATGGATAAACATTGGCATGCTGATGATTTATGCTATTGGGCTCAACAGTCAACGATTCAAGATGTCAATGATCGCCATTATCGTGCCAATTATGTTCGTATTATGCGTTGGTTGGTTACCCAGGAGTGCGGTTTTCCTCGCGAAAAAGCAGAGATTCGGCAAAGCTGAAAAAGTACTGAAGTGGTCGTTAGGTAAAGACGACGTCGAGGAGGAGATGGAGGAGATCAAGAGAATCGTAGCGAGTCAGGAAAACGGCATTACTTTCTGCCAGTCAGTCACCGAATCGTACTCAAGAGTTGAAAGCCGTCGAGCATTCAACATCACTGGGATCCTATTGAGTTCCATGATATTTTCTGGTGCCGCGCCTGTATTAGCCTTCTCGTTCAAAACATTCAAGGAGGCTGAGTACGAGGCTTTGTCACCCGACCACAGTGTCATCTCTACTGGTGTGGCTATTGTCGTGTCCGGAATTGCCTGTGTGATCGTCGTTAAACACACGGGAAAGAGAGCGCTCCTACTGTGGGCAACGCCGGTAACGATCTTGTGTCTTTGCGCCGTGGGAGCCTTTTTTACTGTTAAAAATTCAGGTGGAGACGTTAACTCTTGGAATTTCATACCTACGGTGGCGATTCTGATGTATGCTCTTGCTTACGGTATTGCACTTAATCCTTTACCACTTAGTTACATTAGCGAAGTATTTCCGATGGATGTCAAGGTTCCTGCTGCTCTGTATTGCTCGTTATTCTACTCTTTCGGCAGTCTGCTGGTCGTCAAAATGTATGAGGTATAGTCTTTGAATTTTTTATTTTTAACTTAATGGTGATTGACAAATGTAACGTTATTTTGGGAAACTAATTTTAACTACAATTTGCCATATCAATGTCAAACAAACGATCTACTAATGCTTATTTACACTTCATATCGCAGAAAGCACAAACAGTAATATTTCGCAATAACATCCTATCTAGTTGCCAAATATATTTACATTAATAAAACTTTGTAAGCAAAGATCTGTATGAAACAACAATGAAAGCGTCGTAAATGCAATCACATTAAATGGCATTGGCAACAGATGTAAATAGTAGCTTAACCCAAATAGAGCAGCCCCAACGCGGCATCTCAACAGCTTGAGTGCGCCTCAGCTATATAATCTCTGCAGAAGCTTTTGTCTCTCTCTCTCTTTCTCTCTCTCTCTCTCTCTCGTGAACTATAACAGTGAGCTCTTCACGTGTAAGAGCGCTTATACTACTAGGATATTCAAAATGAGCATAGTCACTCGATTTCGCCTAACAAGTGATCGCTCGTGAGCTGTGCAATTGCCGTGATAACGTTACATTTGTCAAGTATTGTAGTGTATGGTTCTTCGCGTTTATGCGCGTCTGCATGTTGCAGGTACTAGACACGAGTTATGGACTGGCCGCGCCGTTCTGGTGTTTCGCCGCGATAACGGCGTTCCTCTGGCTGTTGATCTATTTATTTGTACCCGAGACCGAAGGTAAAAGTTTGGAAGAGATTCAAATGGAGCTACGTGGAAAGAATGAACCTGCCAATGAGTACCTAACCAATATCAATAATTCTAAGTATTGATCGTAGAGCAACGATACTGCTATGTTCATGCTCTCGAAATGTTGTTTCAACGTATAAAATTAGCCGATTGGTTTTTTTTTGTTTCTCTTTTGTATAACTCTTATCGTAACTCTTTTTTTATTTATCACAGTATTTAGCGCACGTGTTTGTAATCCGAGAGTTTAATGGTTCGACCCGAATAACACTTACATCTGTGATCGCTAATTGCGAAAATTGCGTGTCTGAAATTATTTACCGAGAGAATGAGGTCTCCGAATGCACTTTTTTTTCTTCTTGTCACGTTAAATACTCAAGATACTTATAGAGCAAATGATATTTTCTTATATGAACGATATAGTTAATGAAACGTAATTCTTGAATAAAAATATAGGCAAGTTACAAGGATTGCGATTCAATCGTTTTTCGTGTAACTTTAATCGTAAGCTAATAATTGTATCGATCAAAATTCTACGTTTCGTAAGTTGATTACGATTGTATTATTCAGTTTTTTAAGGTATTTAGGATTGACATTTTATTTTGTTTTCAAGTATAATAATATTAAGTTTTGTTACAAAAGAATTTTGGCAGAATGATGGCAATTTTCGAATATGAATATCGAAGATGTGTTGTAATATGAAGTTTCCGTAAAAGTAAAAGTTGTTTATATATGTTATGAGACATTGAATTGACACTCTGGGTGCGATTGATTGAGATTTGATTTTGACAAGAATACTCAAATGTAAATTAGGTTAATCTAATTTTTTTTTTTTCGATTGTTAGAAAATAAAAAAGATATTTTTTTGAGATATTACATCGTCTCGTAAAATACTTTACAATGCTTGTAACAAACTTGCAAGTAAGATATAAATGCATATTGAGCAGCTACTTAACAGATTAAAGTTTGAGAAAGTACCAGCAGCGGCAGCCTTCAACTTTTTGTGAAAACAGTACGAGCATAATGCCCGTAAACTCTTGGAAGAAGTAAGTTAAATAATCAAGCACTCGAGAACTGCAGTACGAGAGCTCCGCTGTCTCGCGCTTCTGCTTGTTTCTCGTGCTTAATTATGTCACAAAATTCCAGGCTTAACAAGCGCTGTGACAAATTGGCCGAGATAATTTCATTGCGTAAGACAAACGCGAGAGTTCAGCAAATTGCTTCCATTTATTGTTTCCTGTGAATCACTACTCTGCTCGATGCAGTTATGAAATTGACGAAAATACCGCGAGTACAATCGTATCGTACGTCTCACTCGTGTAATGCTTTTGTGAGATAAAATGAAAACAGCTAGTTGAACAAGCGGTGGTAATATGAAAACTGCAGCCTGCAATTTTTTCCAAATAACTTCCTTATAGCGGCTACAAAAAGTAAATGTTCGTAACGCACGACGTTAAATGACGCATTGGCAGCTTAATCTCAACAACCATTGTGGATATACGTACAATATATCATATATCATACAAGACGACAAGCTACAAATATATTGCGTCTCTTATACTCGATAGGTACTCTGACAATAGTTTCGATAAATAGCTCTGATAATAAGACAATAAAAGCAGCGTTTCTCGAATCTAAAGCAGATTTTTCTTGGCTGTCATTATCACGCGAGCGATGCTTTTTACGAGGCCATAAAGCTCAGCGTCTCGTGTGCATCCTTATATACACAGTGCAGGCTACTCACAGACGACACAGAGCTCGCGCATGACGTGATGACTTTTGAATATTTTATCCGTGCGTGTTCACGCATATATTTATGTATGGGAAAAATAGAGAAGATGCTTCCTTTTTCCATTCTTTTACGCTTTCTTTATGCGTGCGTGAGCTTTGAATTATTGAATGCGAGCACGGCCGTCAACGCAATGAAGATCTCGCACGTAAAACGTGAGATATTATACTGTACGCGCGCTATATGTGCTGCTGCAGAGTAAAGTGTATATGATCGTTGTTGTATACGCTCTGGCAGCAGTTGGATGAAATCTATTAGGGAAAAAGCTGGAGGATTTTCATCTTGAAACGTAGATTCTTTTCTTTGGAATCAGGAAACATTTCTTTTTCGCATTTCACAATATAAAGTATTTTTCGCTCAAAAAAAAGATGGATCTCAGCTAAGTCTAACGTTGTTTTCAAAAACCTTTGGTAATGCTTGATAACTGTTCAAATGAAGAAATCAATATAAATGCAGGGAAGAAAATTAATTAGGCTAAAGAAATAGGTAACAAATTTCTTTAAACAAAACCAACTTAGTAAGTGCTTCAAGTTTTAATAATGCAGGTCAACAAATTTTCTATTCATTTCACAACCTTAAACGGAAATACATGTCTCCATAGGTTTTTGGTACGCTGAATCCAAATCCGACGTCAAAATTTCTCCATCATGTCAAGATTCTGAGAGATTCTAACCTAAAAGTCCACTGTTTTTTCCTGTTTTTTGAGCTTGAATGACTTCGCCAGTTTTGATTTTATTTAAAACTTGAAGACACCATTAGAAAGAAAAACATTTTAACTTATTATTGTATCAACGTTATAATTATATATCATCTAAGCCCTATCTATGGTGGGTTCTTTGCTCATGAGTTTCAGGTTATAGTTTTCAGACTACTTGGATGTTAAACGGGTAAGCTCTACTTGTAAATCATTAGTTTTATGAATCATCCTTCGTTTATAATAAATTAACTTTAATAATAACCGAAATGTTAAATGTTGTAATTGCTCTTCTATATAATGGCCATAGGAAAAAATTGATTTTTCCATATTTCAATCAGCAGTTTCTCTGCATAAAAAAATGTTGATGCATTTTTAATTATAAATACATATAGTAAATATCAATAAACCTTTACTCTCTCAAGAAAAGCTTTCACTAAAGCTCACAAACGATACCTGTCATAACTGTAAACTGTTTAATTATAAAATACATGCTCAATAATTGTTGTGCTTCGCGTTCACATTAATTATCGTTAGAATTGGGAAATTATAAAGCCAGCCAGAGAGAAAATTCTTTACTTTTTCAAGTATCTATGTGCTGCGATATTTACGAAATAAGTCATTGTACAATTGAATTAACTAATCACCAATGGCTGGTTGAAATTTATATATCGTATTCGTTGAAAAAGTAACGAACCAAGTACATATATTTTAATCTAACAATGAATAAAGAATCTAATAACAGCTAAAGTATTACAATTTGCATTTATATTTTATAACTATTTATAACTACTGACAATCGTATAATTTCGAGCAATGTGAAGCCATTGAGTTTTGGAAAATGTCTACACATGATAGATGTTGCCCGAAAGCTCTTTTCACGGTGAAAGCACGCTCGCGCACGCACACTTCTCGCACAACAATAGCCTATCCAAAATTGGTACGCGCGAGCCAGCCAATACGTACACACAGTCAAAATGTACAGTCAGCAACGCACGAGAGAGGCATGATTTACAACTGGAACAGTATTTGGCCCCCTTCTAGAGCTATTCCTCGTATTTGCAATTTAGCCTCTGAATTCCGCTTTTATTAGCATACATCAAACAGATCGTTCCTAACGAAGCAATATATGAATTGAAAAAAAATATGAGCAAAGTTTAGCAGTTCAGTTTGATATGACGGAAAATCATTTACAGCGACGAAACGATCCTTCAAAGCATCAAACTGACACATTCATTAACGACATCGCGTGTATATATATATATATATATATATATATATATATATATCCGATGCGAAATTTCAGGTTTAGCGTACGACGACGTCGTGTCGCTATGCATATCAGCTGTTAGCCCCGAAGGCTTGGTGTGTGCGCTGTTCCTGTCGAAATGTCCTTGGAACTTGCAAGCTATTAATCAATCAATCAGCTAGTCGATCAATCAATTAATCAGTTGATCCATCTTCTCCCTTCCATACGTGTGTCTACGTCACTTATCCTTCCGCGATCAGAATAATATTCGCATACATACACGCCGACAAGACGCGAGGCTGTATTCGCCCTGAGAGTTGAGATGCATTATCGGAGGATATCAGTCTTACGCGCGCAATCCATTTAATAGCTAAGAGAAAAGCCCTTAAACGTGATTACATGCAACACAGTTTTGAGGGATAATTGCACCCACTATGGTATATACACTGTATTATTTGCGCGTGGTTCGATGCAAGCATCGAATTCCACGTCTAGGAAGGCTTCGCACGTGGCTATTTTCAAAATAATGCAATGCGGAATTCCAAGCGCCTCGATCGAGGATCCGGTCGGTTACCTATATGCTTCAAGCGAGCTTGCGGTTATTTAAACTTCATCTAAACCTGCTGCAAATATTTTATTGGTATTTTTTAGTTTGTTGATTATTACTTTTCGGAATTTTGAGGTCTGGTCAATCAAACTATTATAATCAAGCCTTTTCACAAAAGCTTCCGAGAAATTTCCAGATTGCACTTTTAATAATCAATTTAATGCTCGTATAATTATATCGATATTTTTTAACGGACAAACGGAAATTTATCAACAGATACCGTTCGTCAAATATAACTTCGCGTAGATTGTTATTAGTGAACTTTTGGAATCGGATTTTAAGCCAAAGGTCAATTGATTACAGACTCAGAAAACTCTCTCTAACTACCTCCGCGTTGTTATTAAAACATCTAATTCCACTATGAACTTACTGTTGCAAGTAAATCCAGACTACAGCCCACATTTCCATACAAAACAAATAATATCATCATGGGGGTTGGGGAGAGGCACAGCGGTTCATTCGGTTTTCGCGCGATAACATACGGTCAACGTATTGTATGATTAAATGCTCTTTGCTCTTAAATCCTTGTTTATCGCAATAATGGTCGAAATGTTCTGCTACTGCACGATCCTGCTACTCCAAAATAGCTTCCTAATTATAGCAAAAGCACGAATGTTTGAATGTGTCTACAGCAAATATCAAATTCGATTGTACTTCGGTAACAAGGCTTTTGAAACGATTCGAACGAACGCATTTCGCACAGTAATGTATTCGGCTGATTAACGGGATTCTAAATAATGATACAGTTTTCGTTGAAAAATGACAAAGGATAAGTCTTGCATGGCTAGAGCTTTATACCAAATTTATTATCAAATCAGTGGCGGAAAAAAGAAGCGGTTCGACAATAATCGGAGAATGAACGACGCTTTCCGATGTGATTGATCTCGTAAACCGTGCAAATTATTTTTGAACGAGGGAGCATTTTTCACTATTGGACCATTACCCTTCCTTTTTTCTGTCTTTCCTTTCCATTACTAGCTACTTTTTCTTCAATCGTATTACTATAGTTTTGATACCCATGAATACAGAAAAATAGATGCAAACTGCCGTTGCATAATTCACTTAGGAAAAATTGCCGCTCAAAAATTGGAAAAACTCCAACTGAAGTAAGACCAAAAAAAGACATAGAGGGAGAAAAATACGGGCTGCTGATCGATATGCACTTCAAATAGTGGAGTTTCAGAAAATACATCGCAAATAAAACGATTTGTAAACAAGGAATAAATCGATGCACTCGCTCTGAAATATGGAAATCTCCTGAAAAAAATGCACGTATTCAGACCAGCCAATAAAATGGTATTATCTGCTTTCATGAAATACTTCGGCAGCGAGATCGTGACTTCAATTTTATTGCTTTTCTTTTTTAATCCGGAAAACAAGCCGCTATTACTTTAACTCACAAAGACACAATGAAGGAAAAAACCGACCTACTGCAAGATTAGAAGCAATAGCAGAAACTCCACAATAGGAACGAGATGGGTGCACGCGGGTAACGAGCAAATTCATTAAAAA